CCGGTTGGAGTGCAGTTGTGGCACGCTTGCTCACAGCCACCCCAGCGTCGACCTGCTGGGCTCTGGGGATCCTTCTGCCTCAGCCTTCCAAGTAGCCAGAACTACAGACGTATGTACCACATCTGGCTATTTTTTATTTTATTGTAGAGAAGAGGTCTTACCAAGTTGTCCAGGCTGGTCTCGAACCCATGGCCTATGAGATCAGACAATCCCCTCCCCTCAGCCTCCCAAAGTGCTGGGATTATAGGCTGAGCCACTGAGCCCGGTCTCTGGCAAGAATCTTAAGAGATCATGTATTCCGGGTGGGGTAGCTCATGCCTGTAATCCTAGCACTTTAGGAGGCTGAGAAGAGAGGATTGCTTGAGCTCAGGAGTTTGATACCAGCCTAGAAAACAAAGTGAGATTTCAGCTCTGCAAAAAAAAAAAAAAAAAAAGGTAAAAAATTAGCTGGGTGTGGTGGCATGCAGCTGTGGTCCCAGCCACTTGGGAGACTGAGGTGGAAGGATTACCTGAGACCAGGAGGTCGAGGCTGCAGTGAGCAGTGGTCGTGCCACTGCACTCCAGCCTGGGCGACAGTGACTCTTCAACTTGAAAAAAAAACTCTAAAGCATTAATATCCCATGAGTACTAACAGTATCCCATGGATACTCAGATGTTAATATGAGGATGTACTAAATAGCTTAGGCCTCCACCTGGAAGGACAGAATGTTGAAGTTTATAAACTCATGAGAAGCCAGCTGGGCTCGGTGGCTCAGCCTGTAATCCCGCGCCTTTGGGAGGCTGAGGTGAGTGGATTGCCTGAGCCCGCGGGTTCGAGACCCGCCTGGGCAGGCGAGACCTCATCTCTACAATAAATCAAAAAATCAGCCGGGCGTGGTAGCGCGCGCCTGTAATTCCGGCTACTCGGAAGGCTGGGGCAGAAGGATCACCGGAGCCCAGCAGGTCGAGGCTGCGGTGGCCAGGAGCGGCCACTGCACTCCAGTCTGGGCGTCAGAGCGAGACTCCAACTCAAAAAAAAAAAAAAAATTCATGAGAAGCCTTGTGAATAAAAACTTCTAGTAAGCCTTCAAAATATTAGAACTAAGATGTGCTCCTCGTAGATAGAAAGT